AGTACACAGGGGGACCCTGCCTCAGAACAGGGGAAGGCTGGGACTGCTCTCATTGACAGAAGCGCCTGCCTTGCAAGCGTGAGGTTGTGAGTTTGATTCTTGGTAACAAAAACAAAAGCAAAAAAGCCAGTATATGAAATCCCTACATTTAATGTATCTTCCTGACATACTGGAACTTCCAGATCCATTTCCAGTCATTCACTCATATATATGTGTGTGTGGGGTGTGTTTGTTTGTTTCTGTTGTTATTTGTTTTTGTTTTGCTTTTATCTTGCTATGTAGCCCAGGCTGGCCTTGAACTCAGTATGTAGCCCAGCTCAGGGCAGTTCTCCTGCCTCAGCCTCCAAAGTGCTGGGATGTACCACCATGGTATGTACCACCATGCCTGGCAAACTCCTATATATTTTTTTTTTTATTTAAGGAGAAAAAAAAAACAGAAAAAGGGTACAGGTAATACAAAATTTAAAAAATAAACAGTAAGAAATCACTAGTTAATAGATTACATATTCTCATCTTAGAAATAGTTGTTCAAGTTACAAAATTAAAGCATATAAAGTGGAATTTCAAACAGTGAGAGTGCAAACAGTTTTCTTCAATGATCCAAAAAACACTCAGTTAATATGGTTATCTATCTTATACACTCAAACATATATGCAGTTATACCTTTTAGAGCACTTTCTTTTCTTTTCTTTTGTACAATGACAATTACACATTTTGGGTTTTATTACTCCCACAGTTCTTATTACTTTTTTTTGAAGAGAGTAAAACCAAATGCGACATGTCAGAACAGAGTCAAATCAAAAGGATGGACATAATAGATAATGTAAAAACAAAATACAAGGTGATCAACAATGGTTACCATACTGCCTCTTGCTATTTTAAGAAGAATTGCCAGTTATAATAAAATTGAACAAAACAGTAAAGAATAAAACCAAAGCATTGGAGACATTACAGGACTTTAAAAGAAGATAATAGTCAACCAGAATGGGCGTCATAATGAATATTATTGTCTTCACAGTTGTTGCCTATACTTTCGAACTTGGTACTATCAAGCAAAGCAGAATAGGGGAAATCAGTCAAAACAAGATGGTGAGGGCAATACAGGATTTCAAATCAAGTTAATAGGAAATCAAACTAGGTTACCATAATGTATCCTGCTATTTTTTTATTTATTTTTCCCTTAATTAAAAAGATAAAAATAAAAAAGTAAATAATTTTTAAAAAGGAGGGGATTGAGATAAGAGAGGGCATAACAACAGAACAGCGCAGGTCAAAACATAACCATTTAAGCAAAATAATGTTTCAACACAAGATATCCTGACCACAGAGTCTCTTTCCTTGAAATCTTTGAGTATAACTTCATATACTGTAACACCTAAATATCGAGACACTATAAACCCATTCAAGAGAATGACATTATTACAGGGAATTTAGAACCAGTTAACAGAAAATGAACAATGGTTTCTGTATAATCTCCTTGTCTATAAAAGTTTTTGCTTATATTATCATATATAATAAAATCCAGTAAGATATAACCTTTTAAGACAAATGGAGGCAGAAGAATAAAAGTTTGATGGGACTTCAAAACAAGATGATACTAAATCAGCACTAGCTATTTTGATGTCTTGTTTTCTCCAAAATAGCTGTTCCTACCATCTGATCTTCTCTGCCTCATTTCTGTTGAGCTCTTTTTCTGTCGTTTGTTGTCAGTTTGTCTTCTTCATTTTGCTTTCTGCTCCATTCATTGTGGCCTCTCTGCCACTATTTCTGGAATCTTGGTATTTTCCTTTTTTAGAATATCCTGCAGTATTCTCTGTAGAGTTGAATTGGTGTTTGCACATTCCCCTAGTTCCTCTTTATCCTGGAAGCACCTTGTTTTTCCATCAATTTCTAGGGACAGTTGTGCAGGATATACCAGTCTTGGCTGGAGGTTATTGTTTTTCAAAGCTTGAATTATTTTCCCCCACGCTCTTCGTGATTTGATGGTTTGTGCTGAGAAGTCTGCTGTAATTCTGATGGGTGTTACCTTGTAAGTGATCTGTTTCTTGTCTCTGATGGCTTTTAATATTCTGTTCTTATATTGGATTTCTGGAATTTTGATTATTATATGCCTGGATGTAGCTCTGTTTGGGTTGTAGGTGGCTGGGGTCCTGTATGCCTCATACATCTGAGTATCTTTACCATTTGCTAAATTAGGGAAATTCTCTTGGATTATTTCTGTGAATAGCTTTTGTAGTCCATTTGTTTGTATCCCTACTTCTTCTTTTATGTTCTTAATTCTTTTTTTTTTTTTTTTTGGTCTTTTTCATTTTTATTGGTACCAGGGATTGAACTCATGACTGCCTGCTTGTAAGGCAGGTGCTTATGCCGCTGAGCTAAATCCCCAGCCCCTATGTTCTTAATTCTTAAGTTATAGATCCTCTTATCTTCTTCTAGCCTTTGTATTGTTGCTGTTTGTTTGTTTGTTTTTATTTTTAAGAAGTTTTTCATTTCATGCTCCCATATACAAATCTGCACTCTAGTTCAGATAATCTATCCTTAGTTTCTTTCAAGCTGTTATGCCAATTTTTGATAGAGTTTTTAGTTTCCTGGTAATCTCTTTGAACCTGCTTCACGTATTCTATGTTTTCTCTATTTTGTCCATCAAACAATTTTCCCCTTTTTTTCTGTTCTTTCATTCCACCATCTGTTTTTTCTTGGGTGATGCTTAGCATTTCTCTAACTATTCTACTTATATCTTGCTTCAGGACATTAATAACTTCATTCCTGAACTCGTCTATGAGGCTCTGGAGACAGCGCTTTATGTATATTGGTGCCATGTCTGATATTGCATGTTTCTCAGGATTGGGAGCCGAGGACCCTTTCTTGTTGCTTCCTCTTCCCATATTTTTTGTTCCTTTTATACAAGCATATATAGGAGTCCCAGTTTCTTTCTTTGTAGGTTACGGTTTGTTTGAATTGGGCCAGCTAAGTGTTCCCACCCACTGCAGTGTACTAGGGAGACACAGACCTGGGCAGCCTATGCTGGGCCCGCCCCTCCAGGTCAACCTACCAAAGGCTTCACTGCTAGGGTGCACCTCCAGGCGCTGGGACCTGGTTTGGGCTAGCTTATTGGGTCTTAGTCAGCGGCATCACCCAAGCCAGGCACTCCCCACCAATCCCGCTTGAGAGGGGAATATGTGACTGAAGTCACTGCAGCGCCCTGTTCCTGCTAGTCTGCCTGGTCCCAGTATGTCCTTTGCTGAAGCCTCCTACTCTATGGAAGGGTCCCTGATCTGCTCACTCACCACAGGTCGATGCAGGGCTCCCAGCCAGTCCCACTCTCAATTCCATTCACTGCTTCCCACTCTCAGAGCTTTCGCGCCTCTCTCCTTGCTGTGCTGATTGGGACTCAGCAGCGGCTGCAGGAAATATAAATCGTGGCTTCCAGTGGCGCGGGCCCCAGCTTCTGCGCTGAGACCTTATCTGTTCCTGTTATATCACCAGGATTGCGTTTCCAGTTGGTTTCTCTTAGTCTAGTTTGTTCTGGGTCAGCAAAGTATATCTCCCCTTGCTTAGGACTTCTCGCCTGGCACCATTCCTGGTTTTTAAGTGTGGTTTCTCAGAGAGCCTCCAAAGCTGCTGCTATCTATCCGCCATGTTCTCCCAGAAGTCAAACTCCTATATTTTTGATGAGAGTTTTTACCCCATTGCTCTAGGTACTGTATGTTTCCTAGTCCTTACCATAAAATAATCAATTCACTCACTTTCACTTGTTTGTCATGTATTTGTTTCTGTGGACTTAAATCTCAACCTGTCATTGTCTTACTGCCTTATTTTTAGCAGTGTAAAGTGCTTGGAACATAAGGAATTACAATCCCGCCTCATTCCACTCAGTTTCCTCATTTTAATTATATTTTTTATTTTAAAAAGGCTAAAACAAAACAGAACAGAACAAAGCAGATCAGAACAAAACAATGCAAGTGACACAGGATTTTAAAGCAAGACAACAGGAGATATACAGTGGTTGCCATAATGTCTCTTGTTTTCTTCGAAATAGTTGTCCATATATTCACACACAATGAATTCAAACAAAACAAAATACTGTACAACTGATCGAAACAGAAGAATGAAAGCATTACAGGCCTTCAGAACCAGACAATAGAAAAATCCATCGTTACCATAACATCTCTTGTTCTCTTCAAAATAACTGTCCATGACTTCATATATATTTAAGTTAAATAATACTGCACAGACTAAAACCACTCTAAACAAAGAATAAAACCATTACTGGACTTCACAGCATGATGATAGGAAATCAGCAGTGGATACCATAGTGTCTGTTTTTCTTCAAAGTAGCTGTTGATACCATCACACGCAATACAAGCAATTCTTGTAAACTCTAGAAGTTATAGGTATGTATAAGCCCATACATGTACATCTGTCCTTTCTGTATGAGAGGGAAAACCAAAACAAAACAAATTACTATAAAAACAAGAAACAAACAAAAAGAAAAACCAGTAACCAAGAGCCCCAAAAAGTGACGATGTAGGTATCCAAAGCAAGGTGGCAGGTCCTGATTTTACTTGTTAAACACCATTGTGTACAGAGTTAGCTGGGTTTTGTCCAGAGACTCCTTGGCCCAGTGTCCCACAGGTGCGTGGTCTTTTGGGTGTAACAAGGTGAACTGAAATCACCACAGGACAGGTGGCTGATGGGAAAAGGGTGGGAAAGCCTGGTGTGGTGATTAGGGGAAACAGGTGAAGAAAACTCCACAACTGGGAGAAGGCAGAAGTCACATTTTACCTAGGTGGGATTTCTGTGAAGGAGTTGGTCTTCCACTTGGTGAATGATTTAAGTGGCCATTTGACCTCCGAGGCAGGTGTACCTCCTCCCCGACTTGGCACACAAGTAATTGTTAAATTAGGGAATGGGAAAGCACTTGGGGGTCAAATGCTTTGAACGATGGGCCTGCTTATGCGTTCTGAAAACTGAAAGAAAGTGTTTTCTTCCACATCTAGGTTTTCCTTGTTGCTGCTTAACTTGGAGGAATACTACTTTGAACAGCACACAGCCCATCACGTTCAGCACCGGGGCAGTGGTGAGGACCGGTGAGCCAGCACTCTGGGAGCCTAACCCACAGACAGACTCTCTAACCAGGGTGCAGGGAAGGCAGGCATCCGGAGGGCGTCGCCCTCTTAGTTCTCGTAGGAGAGTGGGTAGGAGAGTGGGAAGAAGAATGGGTTTGGAAGTTGCTGTCAGAACTTCCAAACTATATTTTAAAATCCAATCCATTTTTAAAATCCAATATTTTTTAAAACAATCGTTTTAAGCCTCTGAGATTGCTGGAAGGCTTTGTTCTGGGTCACCTTTTTGTTCTTTTATCCCTTCTGAAGTTAGGCAGTGAACTCTACTCTTTATCATTAGGGTTGTGGTGTTACAAAGTAATAATCTTAAGTCACAAGACTGGTATGAAAGCAGCATTTTCAAAATGAATAAATAATGCGATTTTGAATTTGAGGTAAAATCTGATTTCTTCCCGTTTCACGATTACTAGTTACTATAATAAAACAGATTGTTCTTTTAATCTTGCCTTTTGAAGCAGTGTACAAAAGTAATTATTGAAGTGTTTTGTTTTCTTTATAAAAATTTTACTTCAGGGTCACTAAATTGCTGATAAATAAAGTTCTTTATTCACAAATTCTAGCTAATCAGGAGAGAAGGAATAGTAAAATTTTAATCCTAGTAAAATGATGGATCCACCCTAGTGCTCAGCACACTCAGCCTTTTGGGCAAACCTGACCTGCCGTTTGTTCTTGTCTGTAAAATTTTATTAATAGTGAAGAGCTTCAAATAGATTAGATTAATTGGTCACATGTAAATTTCAAACAAGTTAAAATATAAAATACACACTAAAACCGTATACGCTATCAAAATACATTTGTTCAATTACAGGGAGAAGTGTTTTTAAAAGGACATAATCAAATGGATGCACATGACCTCGTGTATCGCACGGTTCCTCGTGTATGAGAAACTCTTTATAAATAAAAAGCAAAATAAAATTTAGAGAACAGGAAGTAGGGAGATGAATCTTTCTCAAATGGGGGGCAAAAGGTGGATAGAGGAGAAGGGAAGGGAGGGAAAAGGAATTAAATGTGTTGTGTATGTCCACCAGCTCACACAAGAAATTGATTATTCCACTTCTTCAAATTGGAAATTATTCCAATACTTCAAATATAAATCCAAAGAAAACAAAAACAAAAAAAGGATTGAGAGATAAGTGGGATGGGGAGGGAAGGAGAGAAAGAGCATTGAAAACAGAATTAAGATGGTTATGTACAGGTGCCGGCTTCTACAAGGACCATAAACCATCTGTGTGAGACGCGTGTGCTAATAAAGCGTACAAAGGTTTAGTGAGGACGTAGCCACGCCCCTTGTTTGCATACTGCGTGTGACTGACTTCCCTACCACAGGAGAGATGCGGGGTTGTCATAGACACCGTGTGGCCTGCAAAATCAAAGACCTCTAATCGGGACGGTCATCTTCAGTGGCTGCTAAAACTGTTAAGTAAGAGGCTGCTGAAAAATGTTATAACGCACATATGAAAATTGATACCACTGGAATTCTCTGGTGCCTGCTGAGGGGAAGGTAACACATGTGCCTTTCCTTGGAAGTGTTTTTGTCAGAAGATTAACCTATAATCTGATCAAGTCTTTTAGTCTTGGTGATAATCTAGAGAAATTGTGTGAGTACGAAGATACGGAGATGATTTAGCAAAATTCACGGGATGGGAAAATTATTTCCCAGTAAGAGCTGTGAGGCACCTACCAACTGATTTTAATATGGACTTGGATTTTGATTGGAGCAAACTGTGAAAACACATCAAGTAGAAAAAAATGGAATACTGTATACTTAATCACATTAAATTAATATTTATAGTCATATTTTGGTCCTGGGGACAGGACCACTGAGTAACAGCCACAACCCAAGTTTGTCTTTTTAAGTTACTGTTAGGTAAGTGTGACTGTTAAAAAAGTGAATTAACTTAACATGAATAAATGGTACGAAATTTCTAAAATCTTTCAAGGAAAAGTTATAACTAATCAGGACTTTCAGCATGATGAGCCTTGTCATCCATTTAGTGCATATATATTCAGTGCATATATCTTGAAGATAGAAAGTTTAAATGACTATTTTTTATTTTAAAGAGAAAGAAGATAAAAATAGCAATGAAACAGTTTCAAAACAGGCTAGCAGCATAGTTACAATGATTAGTGCACTGTGTATTGTCTGCATAGTTATTCAGAACAGAAGACATGGGCGTGCTGTCTACTCCAAACAATATCAACACAACCCTTTCTTTTCATGAACTATGATAAACTAGCTTGTGCGTACACATAGATTTTTCTTTCTCCTTTTCTTCCTTTCCCTTTCCCTCACCATAGTTTGTCCTTTTTTCTTTGAAAGGCTTCCCAATTCACAATATCTGTTGTGCATTTTTGATCTTATTTACTCGTTCAGTTTCTCACATGAGTGAGACAGTACATTGTTTACACGTGTCTGATTTATTCCACTCATCAGGTGGTCTCTTTATTAAATGGTGCTGGATAGACTGGCTTTCCATACACTAAGACTAAGGCTAGATCCGTGCTATCACCATGTGCTAAACTATAGTCAGAATGGATCAAAAATAATAAATATTAAAATAGAAACCTTACATTGGAAGAAAAAATAGATCTCAGAGACACAGGTATCAACAGAGACTTCATGAACAAAACCCAGACTGTGAAAGAATCAACAAATGAGATCTCACCTTATTAAAAAGCCTTGCACAACAACAAAAAAAAAATCACCAAGAGAATGAAAAAGCAACCCCCAGAGTGGGAAAAAATTATAGCCAGTTGCCCCACAGACGAAGGACTTACATCCAGAACGTAGAAAGGATGGAAAAAAATCAGACCCCCCAAATTCAAAGGCCCAATCCAAAAATAGGTACTGATGTGAATACACATTTCTCAGATGAAGAAGTACAGATGGCAAATAAATACATGAAAGAGTGTTTAACATCATTGGTCATTTGACAGATGCAAATTAAAACAACACTGAGATTCCGTCTCACCCCAGAAAAAATAGCTGTCATCAAAAAGTCAACCAGTAACAAATGCTGGAGGGGCTGTGGGGAAAAAGGAACCATTATTCTCTGTTGATGGGAGTGTAAACTGGTGCAATCACTGTGGAAATCAATGTGGAGATTCCACAAAAAACTAGGATTCTGTCCCGTTTGACCTAGCTATTCCCCTTCTAGTTATCTTCCCAGAATTAAAAACATCATACTACAGTGACATATATGCATCCATGTTTACAGCAGCACAATTTTTAATAACTAAATCTTGGAAACAACCCAAATACCCAATAACCAAGGAATGGATAAAAATGATGTTTTTTATATAATGGAGTACTATTGAGTCATAAATAAGGAAAAACTGGAGACTTATATAAGTAAATGGATGCAACTTGTGGAAACAGTTCAATAAAAACAGGAAGGTTTATTACTCAGGAGAGCGGATGAAAGAAGAGACCTTCTCAAACTAAGACTGGGCTTCTTCATGTAGTGTTTTTTTGGGTAGTTTAAGTTTTCAAGCAATAGACTATAAAGTATAGCAGGATTCAGATACACAGTTTTTCCCAGTATATTCCTGTCCCTCCTTAATGCCAGCCTTATGGATCCCCAAGTCTTCAGACCCTGCATCCCTTATACAGAATGGGGTAGTGTTCGCTCATCATGTACTCATATCATCTCGTCTGCTTTAAATCATCTCTAAATTACCTGTGAAGCCTAACACAATGACCACACAGACCTTCATGGAATCAGTGTAGTACCTGGTAGATGGCAAGTTTAAGTCTTGCTTTTTGGAACTCTCTGGAATTATTTATAAATATATTTGATCTGAGATTGGTTGAATGTATGGAATCAGAACCTTAGAGATGGGAAGCTGATTACAGTTGAGGGAGGGTAGAGCCCGGGGACGAACAGAGGAAGAGAGTTCACCGGGGCACCACAGGATGGAGAGAGAAAAAGTCCAGATGTTACCTAAGTAATTTTGAAGAACCTGAGACCTGGAAACTGCCACTTTTAGACTAAATGTATTCATAGAAACTGATCTCAGAGTGACTTTTTTAATAGTCTTGTTCTGGTGTCTGCTAACCTACATTCTGAGTGCATAATAAGCAGTTGTCTTGGTTTGATCATGATAAAGTCATCTAATCAATAAAAGAAAATAAATTATGTAGGTTTTTGTTCACTTCAGGCAAGTGACACATTTTGGCTAAAACTAACAACTGCCTCTGGAATGCTCAAGAGTGATATACAAGTTATTGGAGACATGTAAATGTTGCAAAAAAGTATGAAGATGATAGTCTATAACTGATTTATTACACATTTTGGTAGGAGCCAGATCATCCCTAAAGGTGCTTATCATGTGGTAGGTTTTTCCTGAATTTCTCCATATCCCTGAATCACCGCTGAAACTATTTTGTGTGCTAAACTCAAATTTCAAAATTTTTCTATGATTTTAAGAAAAAAATCCCTTTACCTAATCAATTTTAGAAGTTTCTTATAGTTTTATGAATAGTTTTTCCTCATGTAGAGAATTAACAGCCAACATAATTTGCCAGCGATAGATAAATTCAGCATCATTATCTTTTCTGGTCCTAAGTTTCCTTTATAGAGTAACTGAGGACCAAACGAGGTAACAGATATAGTGTGTGTGACCCAAGGTCCAGAAAATCAGAGCAATATTATAATATATGCAGCCTTCTCTGACCTCAAGGGAGGCAAACATAACAGGAATTTTTTTTTTCCTTTCCAGTCACACCCTTCTTTCTAGCTGTTGAGTGGTTGTGTTTTTATTGTCTTAGTAACTGACTTTCTAGTTAAAGAACATCATGATTCTTCTCTGACTGCTACATTCTTCTTTGATTCCTAGGAAAATCAGAGGCTCCTTAAAAATATGTTCAAAATCAGTGATTTTTGAACCAGATGCAACATCCCAGCCCATTATGAAGGTAAATGCATTATAAATCTGAACAGAAACATTCCTGTTTTATGTACATTGTACTTTTGCTTATTTTTGTAATCTCTCTTAATGTTATCCAGATTCCTTTAAGAGACTGTATAAAAATAGGAAAGCATGAAGAAAACACAGCCAATAGACACCCTGCCAAGTATGTCATTTTCACCAACGGTTTAATTTTCTTGCACCCAAAAGATGTTTTGTAACTGATTATTTTTATCTGCATTTTAGGGCAAAATGTGCAGGGATTTCACTTATTTTTAGTCAGGTAAGAAGCACCTAGTTAAAAAATATTTTTCCTTACGTGTGTGTGTGTGTCTTAATTTTTTTTTTCACTTGATGAAATTATTTGTAGAGATCTCAAATGACGATCTTGGGAATAAATATTTAAATGATTATAAAATGTAATCAATAAGAAGTAAATATATAAAATAGATGTGGTCTCCAGTGCGATCCTTACTGTTCATTAAATATGCAGTACCAGTGGTTTCTGTCCTTGGGATCTCTGGCCACATAGGAAGGCTGAGAGGCAGGGATGGCAGTTCTGTTGTAGCCTCTTAGTTGTTTAGAGGCCAGCAGCAGGCCACTTAAATGGCATCAGCCTGACCTGGGTCCATCTCGTGCACTCTGTCAGTAGATTTTACTATTTCATGATCTTACTCTTCAGTTCCTGTGTCTTGGAAGGAAGAGGTACTTTTTGAGTTGAAAGTAGTTTCCATTATAAAAACTACCCATTTTAATAACTTTGAGCTTAAAAATAAAGCTCCCAGGCTTTCCCACCTACTTGTTGTAGTTTGTAGAAGAGCTCTCAAATCAAACCAGTTCAAGCTTTGTGTGGTGGCAGTATCGTGGTCTGATTTCAATTAGCAATCACTGTGCCTAGGCTAATTGAAATCAGACCAGCTCAAAATCAGCCTAGCACCAACGGGCACCAAGGCACAAGTTGCCCTTTCAGGTATTAAGTTTTCACACCGAGTACACTCCTGGGTGACTCCTGGGCGATGCCGGAGAAGAGGAGTGTGTGGGGCGGTTGTGATGTGCATCCAGGTCCAGGTTTGGAGAGACGGGCAGCACCTTGCGGTGGGCATGTCAGAGGAGGGTGAGTGCCCCTGGCCTATGCGGTCATGGTAGAGCTGGTTAGGGACACGTCATGGAAGGACCCAGAGACAGGTTTTGGAATAAAGGGCAAAAGTGAAAAGCCACTGGAGAGCTGGAAGGAAAGGAGCACAGTATTATTTGTGTGTGTTTGTGAACTGGTTGAGGACAAGCTGTCCAGGGGCAAGAGCGGAAGCAGTGCGGCGCTTGTGGGCTGTTTCGGGCAGGAGAGAGAGAGGAAGTCACTGGATGTGTTCTGAAGAACAAGGACCCTGACAGACGTGCTGACAGGTGTACTGGAAGCCGAGTGAAAAACACTTCAGCAAGAGCTGCTAGCTCTGAGGAGAGCCAAGGAGAAGTTGAGAGTCAGCATTGGATTTGTGGTGGGGATCCTGTGCTCCTTATGCGGCCACCAGAGTAGCTGCAGTAGTGTGCAGGGTGAAAATAGGTCAGGGGCGTACGAGGAGATGCAGGCAGGTGGCTCTGGCAGAGTTTTACCTCAAAAAGGAATAGGGAAGTGGCCAGAGGAGGATGTGAGACCTACAGGGTGGTTCCCTTTGGTTTGTGTAAAGTGGGAAAGGGTGCAGTGCATAACCACGGGAGGTCAGTCATGAATGACTCACAGGTGGGCAGTGTCCAGCTTGTGTGACAGATGGACCAGCTGGCCTTTGGGAGCCCAGATGAAAAGTTGGAGTGAGGGTCCAGGGACACAAAGTTTGGCAGCTGGTAAATGGTGCTTTTTCAACAGAATTTTAATACATGGTATGAAGCCCGGTGTCCTGATGAAAACACACCTGCCCAGGCAGCCTTTAGGGAAGCACCATTACTGTGTGCTAAGGCATTTCATACACAAAGACTGTTTTATCCATCTCCCAGGAGACCGGCACTTAGATTAGCTTCTTCCCTTGTCTGCTTAGGTCTTTGGTATAAGTGGTAACATTCATAAAACATTTGTTCAGTAATTGTTGCTATCTTGTTGCCTGAATGATTCTGTTTTTAATTCAATATTTATTTAAATATCAGAACTTTAAAGCCATATGAATATTAATCCAAGTACTTTTCCAAATAGAGGCTGTGTAATAAGGATTTAAAACATTCAGTTCCTAATGTCCTAACTTACCATTTTTTTGCTTACTTTTCACTAGTATTTTTTTCCTTAGGTATATTTCATTAAAGAACATAATATTGTTGCACCATATAAAATAGAAAGGGTAAGTAAAGTTTTTCATATATTTCCAGCAATTTATGTAGTGATTTTGAGCAATCAGATTTTGTGACTGTTAACGTCTTTAAGCAAATATAGTAATATTGGATACTTAAAAGCTTATTACCAAACAGTTACAGCAAAATTACCCAAGGGAGCCATGACTTTAATCCAAGGGGATTCTAGTAAGTTTTTATTTAAAAATAAATAAGCCTCATAGGAAGAAAAAGTGTTAATGATTAGATTAGGAACTGAACTCAGCATACGCATTGTCACTGAGTGGGTAGTCCTGGGAATTCATCAGCATATTATTGAAAACATTAAAATTACTGGAAAAACATTTACAGGTGATAAATCCTGACTTGAGTTGAAGCTTGTGGACGAGCATGAATGTAATGTGTGACGGGGGACACAGTTCATGGCACAGCGCCTGCCTGGCAAGTGTGCAGTTGGTTCCTGGTACAGAAACAGCGTTGAGTATAATGTCTGGTTCCCAGGACTTTTCCAGTGAGCACTTACTGTACAGTAGAAGGAAGAATCCCCCCGAGAGTTTCACGGGGTCGGGGACAGGTCAGGGCTCCTTGTGGTGACACCTGTGAGCTAGGACAGCCGCCCCTCGGCAGACACAGTTCCACAGGCTGAGCCACAGCTTCCATTGCGGGCCAGCTTGCAGTGTCTTGCACACCCTGCTTAGGACGCAGCGGTCCTGGGGTTTACAGACAGGGCCACACGCACACACTGCTGCCCAGAAAGGTAAACACTGAGGTTTGGTTATGCTCAGGAGGTGCTGTTGGCATTTGGGACGGGACGATTCTTCACCATGGGAGGCTGCCCCTTCTTTCAGCCTGTCTGGCCTTCTGAGTACCTTTTGTATACTGCTCCTCGCTTGCTCATTACAGCAGCACCTCCACACACTGACAGAAGTTGTTGGGGAGTGAAAGCCCCCCTAAATGGAGGATCACTCCCTGCGGTGCTGTCCTAAAGATGCTCCCAAGTCTACAATTATAAATGTGTGTGTTAGGGTTATCTAGAGAAACACCACCAGTAGCCGTGTGTGTGTATGTGTGTGTGTGTGTGTGTGTGTGTGAGAGAGAGAGAGAGAGAGAGAGATCAAGGCTGAGATCATGGTAAGGAATTGACTCACCTGATTATAGAGGCTGAGGAGTACAGACCTGGTGACCACATGGTGTAAGACCAGTCTGAATTTGAAAGCAGAAGGGCGATGGCTCAGTCCAAAGAGGAAGAAACCATTATGATGCATATTCACCCAGCCTCAGAGCACCTCACTGCTCCTGTGAAGTGAACACTGAGATGACTGAAGGTAGACGTAATCACTGACCAGCCATAGTAGGTGTAATGACCCACTTTCAACAATGGGCAGAACATCCAGGTAGACATCAGGAAGGGGACAGAGACTGGAACCACAGTGCAGACCAAGGGGGGCTGACAGGCGTACACAGAATTCCCACTCAACAGCAGCAGAGTACACATGCTTTCTAGCATAGGGGGATCGTCTTAGGACAGATCACATGTTAGAGCACAAAACGTGTCTTAGGAAATTTAAGAAGATGGAAATTTATCATGTATCTTTTCCAGCCACAATGAAATGCAACTAGAAAAGTTACAGGAAACCAGAAAATTCACAGATACGTTGTAAAATCAAAGAAACCAAAAGAGAAATTAGAAGTATCTTAAGACAAAACAAAAGTACAGTGATTTATGGGAGTAAAGCTGTAATAAGTTGGAAGTTTCAAAAATGAGTATGAACCAGAAGTGGTGGCACCTGGTTATAATCCCAGCATTCAGTAGGCTGAAGCAGGAGGATTGCTGCAAGTTCAAAGCCAGACTGAACTACATACTGAGACATTATCGCAAAAAAATTAAAATAAATGTGTGCATTATAAAAAGAAGACCCCAAAATAAAAATCCTGTTTACTTCAAGGAATTAGAAAAAGGAGAGCATATTAAGCCCAAAGGTAGAGGGAGGCAGTGAATAATACAGTACCAGTGTGTCTGTCTAGTAGGTTCCTTCTCTCTGTAGCTCATTCTCGGGGTCCTCGAAGAAACACGCAGGTCATAGGTGCTGTTCACAGGTCCTCAAGTGCAGAGTGGACGTACTGCTTCTCTTTGGTTCTTCTGATGTCTTCTCCTCCTCATTAGGGCAAAATGGAGTACGTCTTTGAGTTGGATGTCTCAGGGAAGGTGGAAGACGTGGTGGAGACTCTGCTTCAGGTAAGCCTGAAGGGGATCCAGGAAGCACTCACCAAAAGGAGCACTTCAATGCAATGTGAGGCAGAAATGATTTTTTAAAAGATTTCATGATTTCGTGTTATCAAACCATAAATCTCTTCTAAATACCTAGCAGATTTTCTTGACTATATAGAACTTGAAAACTGCAGTTAACAGTCAGATCAGAAGTAATCTTAACTATTTCAAGTGGCAGAATAATTGGCATTTTTCATTTTGTCTGAAGAAATACTTGGTATTGTTTCAGAGAAACTGATCTGTGTGTGTTTGTGATACAGCTGCACAGAGCATCCTGCCTTGACAAACTGGGTGACCAGACTGCCATGGTGAGTGTCTCTACGGACTGGAGTCTTGGTAGACTAACTTTACTGGTGTTTCATTTATAAATGCCTAACATCCGTACTGTCAAACTGTTCTGTTCTCCTAGATAACAGCTATCTTGCAGTCACGCTTGGCTAGGACATCGTTTGACAAAAACAGGTGAGCTTTTTACTGACTCTGCTTCCTGATGACAAGGGCAGTGGAGAGTATCATCCGTAGATGGAAGATGAAGATACTGCTTACGAACGCAGGACTGCGTTCAGCCTGCCCAAAACTGGCACTGTGGTTGTCATCTGACCCCTGCAGTCTGAGTGATGCAGAAAGAGTCAGGACCCTCCTGGCCCTTCTCCACCCTGCCCCGTCGGCTGGCGCTCTCTTTGACCTGTGCTCTGGTGTGCTTGTCTTCTGACGTCACACCTGCCACTGTGTAGTCCATCGTTACCCCACCCAGCTCTGAACCCCCAGTCTCCGTCTTCCGTTCCCGTCTCCACCTATGTCCTTCTAAAGTGTGGCATTCCTAAAGCACCTCTGTAACCGTATGCTACGCATCTGTTTCCAGTTCTCCAGGGCTCCCCCTGCCTTCTAGAGAAGTCTGGGGACCATGTAGGGACACAGCCTCTTGTGCGCCAGGTCTTGTTCACTGCTTTTAGTGGCTGATCTCTTGGTTGGTTCTGGCTCTAGGTGTTTGCATTGTTCCTGTTAGGTCCAGCTTCTCTGACCTCTAAGCCTTCGACGAGGTTCCCTCCGGCACAGAACACTCACCCTCCTCCTCTGTATCTGGCCCACTCTCACTTTCTGATTCCAGTTTAGCTGTCCTTCTAGAAAGTCTTTGTGGGCACTTTAGACTGGGAGGGGTACTTTCCTATCATGGCCCATGGAGACAGAGAGAGGACGTAAAGTCTTACTGTTGTAATAGTTTTTCGTTGATTTTCTTGGCTTTATTAAAGTATACAGTACACTTTTATATTCTTTTGTTCTTGTTTCTAGCTATATTTATATGTATGTTATATGTACATATATATGCATATACATATGTATCTATGTATATACACTTTTTTTTTGTCTTTTTGAGGCAGGGTTTCATTATGCAGTTCAAGCTGGCCTAGAACTGCATATTTGTGTCCTATTCTGGGCTCAAACTGTCAGTGATCTTCCTGCCTCAACCTCCTAAAGACTGGGGTTATAGGCATGCACTACTGTTTCTGGCCTTATACTAAGTAGATTTTCTTATGCAGAATTGGGCTATTTGTCTCTGTCTTCAACTGTTACGCCATTGTGTTAATTCCTGAAGCTTCATGAAAGTTATTAATACCTGGTAATGCAGGGCCGCACATCTTATTTTCCTCTTGTAGTTTATGTATTCACTATTCTTAATCTCACTTCTGTATGAATCGATAATTAGCTTGTCAATTTCCATAAAGCAAAGCCAATTGGGCTTTTACTTGGAATGTAGGAAATCATGGTTTTCTCTCCATTTATTTAGATTTTTAAACTCTTCCATGTGGTTTCCTATAAACCTCTCTCCTGACTTACAAATGGTACGTTATTTTATTTTCTGTTTATTGTTGTTAATACATGGAGTGCAATAGATTTTTGTGTTGTTTCCATTAACAAACTGATCAGTTCCATTAACTTCAACATAATTAGATTCCTTGTATATGCAAAACCTTTTCTGTGAATTACTTGCAGTCTGTCTTCACTGGCAGTTTTATTTCAGATTCTTGCGTTTGTAATCATTCATGTAGGAAGTATTGGTGAAATGGATTGACTCACTTGTGATTAAGTGTCAGGCTTTTGCTGGAGCCTGCGTTTATAAATGGGAGTAGTTCGTGATACCCTGTTTTATTTGCTGTCTTTGACTCCGATATGTGGATCAGCGTTCCTGACCTTTATTCTGCTCTACGCTTTAACCTGTTGAGGATCTTGTAATAAAGCTGTTTGCCTAGTCGTGTGGTTTTTGTGTTTGAGTCTTGTTCTGTTTGGCTGTAGCACATTTATTTTCTTTCCAGTTTTATGGTGGCAGGGTACATTAGGTAACTGAGTTGCCAAGGGAGAAACAGTTTTCATTCTGGAAAAAGAATAATGCTAAGAAAAATCATCTTTCCTGTGACCTACTTAATATCTCATTTTTCTAACAAGTCATTTAGACTTCAGTTCTGGGCATCAGCAGTGGGATTCATTTAAGAAATGGCTCACTGTGAAAGTCTTAATGTGTCCAGGCTCTGAAATGTTAAGCTAAATAATTTAGAGGAGAAATTTTTGCAGTATATAATAAAATTCCCATTATAATGTACTTTCTCTAGAAGAAAGAAGGTAAACTTCTCCTAAGATAGGCTTTTGTTATCTTTCTGAAAAAGTGATTTTTTTGTGGAAGAAATATAATTTTACTTATATTCTCCTTTTAATTTTGATAATTAAAGAATAATAGTTGAGAGAATAATATAATGCACATAAATATCCTATAATTACTAAATTTGCAGTAAGCCCTATGTACCAGTGGGTTTATTCATGGGGCTGCTGTGTATGTGAACGTGTGTTGTCTGTAAGTGTGTGCACATTTTATGCATGTTGGTGTATATATGTCTATACAGTCAGCTCTCCCTACCTGTGAATTCCACATCTCTGGATTCAACCAACTAAAAATATTTGAAGAAAATGGCGGGGCCTGGCAGTGCATGCCTGGATCTCACAGTTGGGAGGCTGAGGTGGAAGGGTCACTTGTGAGTCTGAGGCCATCCAGTGCTATCTGGTAAGGTTAAGGCCTGTCTGAACTGCATAGGGAGGGAGACCCTTTCTGAAGAAAAACAAAAAGGAAAAAAATGCTTTGATATTGAATATGTACAAGCTTTTTTTCCGTCTCATTATTCCCCAAATAACATAGTATGTAGTAACTGTTTATATCTTTGTATAGCCCTTCCACTGTGTAGGTACTTATAAGTAGTCTATAGGTGACCTGAAGTATACAGGAGGATGTACATGGGCTGTATATGAACTTTGCACTATTTTATATAAGGGATTTGGACATCTGTGGTTTCGATGGTATATAGAGAGGTCTGTATGTGTGTAGTGTTTATATATGATACATGATACATGTTTGTGTATTATGTATAAAAGTATATGTAAAAATTTTGAACCATTTGAAACTAAATTACATCATGACATTGCCCCTGTAAGTACTTTAGCATATCAGTGTATGTCCATTAAATGCATTCGTCTATATTTTTTTCTTGTTTTTGAGATAAGGTCTCACTGTGTGGTGCTGGGTGGCCTTGAGCTCATAGTGACCCTCCTGCCTCAGCCTTATGCGGGCTGGGATTACAGGTGTGTGCCACCACACCCAGCTGTTTCTGTTTTTGCTTTTGTTCTTGCTGCTGGCAATCAAACCCATGTGCTCATACATTTTAAGCAGCTGCCCCAGCACTGAGCTGCACCTCCAGCCCTGTCTCTTGATTCCATTGTCACATTCAGTTAGCAGTAATTTCACAGTATCATCTAGTCTGTAGCTCCACATTCATTTGTACCCTAAGCTGTCATCTTTATTTTGGAGAGACTTCAGATTTTAAAAAAAGACAGAAGAGTACTGCAGAGTTCTCTTTTATGCCTCCCTAACAACCTCACCCTCATGGTTTTATGGTTAGTCTGTAAGTACAATGGTCTTTTATTGAGGTTATTCCTTGATATTTGTTTGATGCTATGGAAAATTTATTTTCCAATATTTGTTACTGGTAAATAGAAATAAATTCCTTTTCTTATGTCGACCTTATGTTTTGCAACCTTTCCAAGTTCACTGATGAGTTTTAGAGAGCGTTAAGTTTCCTGGATGTCATCACTGAGTCTTTGAACAGTGACAGCCTTGCGGGCTTCTCTCTGGTTTTCATTCTCTATTTTCTGTCTCACTGCACTGTTTTACCAATAGACGTGGTGGGAACAGATTTTACTCTTGGCTTATTCCTGATAGAAAAAGGCTCTAATGTTTCATTATTAAGAAATGACTCTAGCTTAGATTGCTCCTAAATGCTGTGAATCAGAACTAGGAAGCTCTTTTGTGCTTCTAGTCTTCCAAAGTTGTTTCAGTGATCCATGTCGTAGTCATCAGGTACTCTTCTGCATTTGTGGGCATGATCCTGTTTTTCTTTTTTTATTCTGTTACTATTGTGAAGTTTTGAATGTTAAACCAACCTTGTATTTGTGGGACAAATCAGAAATCATGATATGTTGGCCTCTTTATATTGCTGAATTTTCTTTTCTAGTACATGGTTAGGTGTTTTCGCATCCACACTGCAGGGGTGTTGTACTGTCCTTCTCTCCCACAGTTCTGGCACAAGCCTCTGCTGAGCTCGTGAAATGAGTTTGGAGGGATCCTTGTCCTCTTTTTTCAGAAATGTTCTGGAGCTTTGGTGTTATTCTTTCTCACATTTTAATGAATTTCTTGATAAAGCAGTCTAGGTCTGAAGTGTTGATGGTGATTTTTCTTAAACTAGACCTAGAACTCTTTAGTCTGCTTCTTATTGTGTTTTTTTTTTTTTGTTGTTGTTGTTGGTTTTAGTTATGTGTATTCAAAAAATGATTCATTTCATCTAAGCTGCCACATTTATATGCATTTAATTCTTTTTGTTTTCCTTTTTTTGTTTTTGGAAAAACTGAAGATTGAACCAAGGGCCTTCATGCCTAACTGCATCCTGAGCCCTTTTACATGTTTTATTTTGAGATAGGGTCTCACTCATTTGTTGAGTTGACCTGGCTAGGTTCCAGCTTGCCATCCTCCTGCTTCGGCCTCCCAGAGGCCTAGGACTAGGTGTGGGCCGCCACACCTGGCTTTTAATGTCCCCTTCATAGCAGCAGGCTCTGTGGTAATGACCTTTCATCCTTTTGATACTTTGTGTTTTTTCTTTTTTAAAAATCTATCAATATTGGTAGGGGCTTATGGATTGTATTAACTTTTCAAATAAAACCTTTTCACTTTGTTGCTATTTTTTAGGTTTGCATTTTATTCAATACTGACTTTCACTTTTATGATTTCCTTTCTTGAGCTTATGAAGAAGAGTAACCTTCTGCCAGCTTCCTCAGAATAAAGCCTAGGTTGCTGATTCTGTGTTGTAATAGAAGCATTTATCTATAACCACTGCTTTGGCTGGCTGCATTCCACAGATTTTGCTGTT